TAAAAGAGTAGCCCAAGAGTTGGCGGTGGGTGGTGATGACTAGCTGACTTCCCTCTAGTCTTACACTGCTAAGTTAGGGACGGCTAGCGCAGATAGCCCTCGTGTAGCTTTGTGCGAAATTCAAAAATAAATAAATTAAAACCACACTTTATTAAATAGCCGTTTTTGTTTTCTATTTAAACATTTCTTATCTTAATGACAATCGGGCTCCTTAGTGGTAGAGCGGTAACTCTGAAGGCTTATAACCCTAAAAACCGGGTTTCAATACCTATGGTAGGCATAGCACAGATAGTCCATTGTGTAGCTTTGTGCTAAACAAACATACAATGACAATCGATGAATTCTTAATGGTGAACCAGAAAAAATTATCATATAGATAAATGCATTTTAACAAAAATACTACTTAGGTATGAAATCTATTAAGAAATAGAATTAGTTTTATAAATACAGAGAAAAGCAATATTCATGCCACCGCTTACAAATACATCAGAACAACTATTAAATATGTTATAATAAATTATAATGTTGAAATAAAATTCACATTCTGTTGTAAAAAAATTAATTTAAAGCCTGCTCTCGACTAAGATGAATTGGAATATCAGTAAGTTTCATATTTTTTCTTTCCAAGATGAAAATTGTATGTCATCGTTATGACGTCTCGAAAAAACTCAGTTTCAATATTGTATTTGACTAGACTATATTTCGTAGTAAGTCAGGACAAGTATTGTGGTTATAGTTTGATACAGAGAAAATATCCCAAGGGATTTTGTAACGATTTTCGGCCGACAAATTAATTTTCATTTTACTTACCTAAAATAACTCATCAATTCTCTTGTCTCTCTCTCTCTCTATGACGTCAATCTTTTTGTAATGACGTCAGTGATTTGACGAAAAGTAAGTCTGTAATTGATTACACCCAGTGACCTGTGCATAAGTTGTCTCCGAAACGAGAAGCCTTGCAAGAACATGTATTCATTTGCAAACACATCTGATTGCTCAATGAAGCGTGTTAAAAGTATAATAGTTGATTTTCATAGCTACTCTGCAGGGAGCGTAGCCAGCATTACAGAATGTATGCGTTTTTTTTTCTTCCAAAAACACGGGAATCTTTTCTTCTGCACAAAGAAGTTAAGTGAGTTACAAGACTGTTTTTTTTAACAAATCAGATTTCTAAACTTTTTTAGAATACTGGAGTGATCGTTCGAACTACCGATCCCCCATTACCCCGGCTACGACCCTGTTTTGTTTACTATCTCCTTCGCTTCACTATAGATTTAGGGTACACGCTCGTATAAATCCAGAATATTTTGAAAATATTGACACAATTTCAAGTTTCAATTGTTTTTTTAAGCATGCGACACTTTTTCTCTTATGTATAGTACGACATATACAGAAAATTATCTTACGTCCAATAGCCAAACTAAATTAACCTTCCTTTTTTTTTGGGGGGGGGGTAATTATATTAAGGAGTTAAGCTTTAACATAGGCACACATATTACAAAAATATATCAAATTCCCATTTCTGATTCTGTTTCTTTTATTCATTCAGTTGTAGCTGCGTCAACCTTTGTGTACCATGAACTAGAGCAGCCACTTCGGATACAAGGAGGAGTTGATAACCAGTTTGTTACCGATGGTATTGGAGGACCAGATTTGTTAGTAAGTCTTCTTAGGTTTTCTATATATATATAATAAAAATAAAGATTTACCACTGTAGTGAATGGGAATGAAATGAATTCTTACAACTGATAATCAAATGTAGTTCTACCGAAAAGGAGGGGAAAACAAATGTAATATTAAAACAGACATTTGGTCGGGTATAAAATAAAAAAAAATAAACACTCATTTGTTAATAAGAAACAACTGCGGGTTACTCTTTAATTCCGTCCATGGATTTTGTCCAATCCCATTGATTGAGGTCCCCCGGTGTGACAGTAGTAAGTTTACGGACTTACAACGCTAAAATCCGGGGTCCGATTTCCAGCGGTGAACACAGCAAACAACGCAATGTGGCCTTGCTCTAAAACAAACATAAATTTAGTAGATGAAGCAAATTTTAGAAGTTACTCTATCAATCATTAAGTGAAACAAATTTTTGGCCTTTCTAATTTCTAACTTTATGTTTAGTAATAATTTGGGCTATTTAGAAATAGATACTTTCATTTAGTACATAGACTACCTAATACTGCAAATGGTAATATGAATGCTAGCTTTTTTTTTTCTAACTCTTCGATGAATCTATGAGACACTGTTATTTGTGGCATATACCAACCATAAATAATAATAGTAATGTAAAAGCCAGAAATAAAAAAAAAATGTTAATTGCGCTTTTATATCTTCCAGCTTAATTGTACACTTGTGAGACACTTTTATTTAATACACAATAAATAATGCTGGGAATGAAATCAACGCTACAGTATTCATTCAATTTTTCGCGTCCCCGGTGGTTCAGTAGTAAGCTTGAGAGCTTATGACGCTAAACTTTTGGTTCGATCCCTGCGGTTGACATACCATAGATAGCCTATTGTGTAGCTTTCCTATACCTCTGTGAGATACCATTATTTCGTTCCACGTCCAGTCATTCTCTGTTTGAGGGCAGTGCATTTTGACAGTGCGACGGTTGAACGAATTTGTTGAGGAAGAAACTTGTGTACACATGACTTGTGCTGCTTTTCTAGATAGAGATCCTTTTTGATTATCTTGCGTACTGTTTGTTGCCTGGACAGCTTTTGCCATTAAGTTTTGTGTTCGTGAATCCTTATCTGTTACAAGACGCCACATTTTGCTTATAACGGCTAGGTCACGACTTGGTGAAGGTCTCTTTCTGGATGGTCCTGGAATCCCAAGTTGATCCATGTTCTTTTGTTTTCCAATGACATTAAGCCTTGAAAATTTTATTATCTAAGTGAAGAATATTTAGCATCGGATAGGGTTATTACATACCCTTCTCAAAAATCATCAATTTTCAGGGGCATCACACTACCAAAGAAACGCAAAAAAAAAGGAGTCAAAATGTAGTTATGACATGTAACGTTCCACCGCGACTGTATATCAGCTGTAGTTGTCACGTAACAATTTCAGTATTCAAAATAATTTTAACATAACGTATTCAACCCTCAGTATAAGCGCTCGTGTTTTACACATATCTGCTTTATCTCAGCGACACTGCAGTAAAGAAACATGATGTCTGGCTTTTTAGTATCGATAATGTTTTGGGTATGAAAATAACTTAGCTGATGAACTGAACTTCAGCTACGAGGATTTCAGATATGTTTTAAAATAATAAAAAATGTTGTAAACAATTTATGTACACACCAATGGAACTTTTCCGAAGATTATTTAAACCACCAACCTGCTAACAATCATGTCATAATCCAGCCTGTTTTTTCCCAACGTTCAAGACGAAAAAGTTTATTGGTTTCGTATAAAATGCTGTTACTTAAAACGGTTTTGTGTTTATCTATCTACAATTGATCGCATTATTTTAGCCTCCAGTGGCTCAGCAATAAGTCTGTAGATTTATAAAGCAAACCACAGGGTTTCGATACCCGTGGTGGGCAGAGCACAGATAGCCTATTTGTGTATTTTTGTGCTTAATAACTAACCGATTATTTTTACGCAGTGTTTTGTCGAAATTTAAACCTGTCAGTGCATACAATGATTTCGTGTGACGTACTTTTTAAAATTCACTACCAACGGTTTCTTGAATGTAAATAATAAGGAGTAATTAGAAATTCATAGTTACACTCGAACATCTGGTTTCTGGTTCAAGAAGTGAAAAAAAAATTGTCTAACATGTTTTTTTATTTCACGTTCTGTTCAAAATCAAACGCAGTCTGGGATGCTTAAAGGTTGTAATGAATAATGATGAAATAACAAAAAAAGAAAAATACATCTGTGAAAACTCCGAATTTATGAAGGTAAATACTAAATAAATGTGTGTGATATATCACAGTGAATTGCATTTTAAGAAGGATTAGTTTACAAATATGGTCGGGTGTGAACTAATGGTTATCGTGCTTGAACTTTGAATCCGACGATTCACGATTCACGAACCGTTGCCCCAAAGGCACGTTGCACACTTTGGACCAGTGGGTGCACCATATGAGTGACAGTCAAATCCCACTATTTGATCAGACAAAAGTATAGAAAGAACTGGTGGTGGGTGCTGTTTACTAACTGTCTTCCTTCTAGTGATTAATCTATCAGTTTAAAATTGGGGAAGAAAATGCGAAGATAGCCCATATGTAGCTTTGCGCAAAATTCTAAAAAAACAGAAAGAACAGAAAAAACACCCAACAAAAACACTGTTTACAAATTATGTCTTTATATTCAAGGAAGATGACGTTACTTTGACAACCAAGGACACCGTATCACCACCATCACCAAACACACCTCCAGGTAAGTAAATAGGTTACAAACAATTGTTCTCGTTGTTATTATTTTCCGTTTAAGACGGGTGCGGTCGTTTATCAGTTAGTATTTATGTCTTATTAGGTTGTCTTACTTTAAAATGATTTCTAAGTGATTTTAATTATTGGAAAATTTAACATTTGCTAGATTAAATACTTCTAATGAAAAAATTGTGTGTGCGTTGGATTATTCATTTAACAAGAAAAACGTTGGACGAAAGCAACTGATTATACCAACAAACCTTTACTTTATTATAAAGCAGTTATCAGAATGAAAAGACCTAACAAGCCTGTATTATTATGAAAAAAAATTCATTCACCTAACGAGCCTGTATCACAGTGAAGCAGTAATTGGTAGCTGATTAACCCAATAAACGTGCAATAGCAGTCATAATAATACGAAAAATTGGCGAACGTATTTTATCCTGAAGTATGTATCACACTTTGATTATAGTTTGTTAGCCATTTTGGAATATAGCTCAAGAAACTGAGTTCGCGGTCCGGGCCGGGCAACATTTTTTGACATATATATTCTTGAAAATGGATACCCATATCATTTTTACCAGGTGTCAAGCAAATAGGGTAGGATTAAGCGTGGTAGAACCTCCTTTAAATTTGGCTTAAGTTCCACTTGTTTTTTTGTTTCGAGACTGAATAGGTCTGGTGGTTAGGGCGCTCGACTCGCATCCTGTGGGTCGCAAGATCGAAGCCCATAACCAAACATGCTCGCCCTTTCACCTTTAGGGGCATTGTAATGTGACTGTCAGTCCTAGTATAGTCGTTAGTAAATCGTAGTCCAAGAGTTGGCGGTGGGTTGTGTTGACTAGCGGCCTTTAGTCTATTGCTTCAAAAATAGGAACAGCTAACGCATATTGTCCTGTTGTAGCTTTGAGCGAAATTCAACAAATAAACAAACAATTGAAACTGAAGCTGTTCCGAATGTGATTTTAACCTAATATTTACGTTTATGATTGTCCTAAGAATACATCTCAAAACGTTTATTTTAAAAATAATCCAGTGAAGGCTCCAAAGACACAGGACTGCCCAGAAATGAGGGAGAAGGGGAGATTTTGATACCATCACTGCGTTTTAAAGTATTTAGTAGTGCCTAACAATGCCTTCAATAGACCAGATATGCTACTTTTAATGATATTAACCTTGTCCCCACAAGGAGAAGAGACTGTATTACATCTGGTGAGGTTAACAGAAACTGAAAGTTTTGATCTATATTCGGATGCATCAAGTCAAAAATTTTTCCTTTCTTTGGAAGCCACCTATAATTCTACCCTTTTACTATCTGGTGCGAACTTAAGAGATTCGTGTATTGTGATATTGGATGTTGTTATTTGGTTATCATGTATCCACGACATTTACAGCATCACTACCATACATTGGCCAAGAGTCCACAACAGAGAGGTTTGGCCACTATAAGTCCCTGTAGTGAAGCCAAGCACATTTTCCCACCAATTTGTAAAGGTTTTGTCCTTTCTTTAGACCTACATAAAGAAATGCGACTCTTCTAATGCTGCAAAATACGTTTCACTCTGTTGGACTTGTAGCCTTGACTGTCAACTTCAAGAGTAGATAGAATTTGGACACACCTGGTTATGATATTTGTCAATTCATAGATATAGTACTGGTGGAATAACCCAACATCAATTTCAAGTAGCAACATACAAGAAAACTTTGTATAGTCATATTTTGTTTCACTGCCAGCTTTCACAGCATGTTAAAGACAAAAAAGATGAGCGCGAGAGGTAAAGGTCTTATAGCCCTAGCCTACTTCACAGGAAGCAGCTGTCCAACTGCAGAGAGAGTTCTTTTATACGAAAGTCCAATAGCTATACTCTAAAGAAATGACACTTACCATTTCAACAATGGCCTTAGATCACGTTTATACGTATTAAGAGATTCTAACTATCCGACGAGTATTTGGTCCATGGTACAGGGTGAAAGAGTGATGATTTACTTTAGGCAGCTCACCCTGAAACTGGACAAAAACCCAGGATTCTTCATGATCCATGGTCATCCTGGTAGGATACCTTCTGGCTCAGAGAAGCTCACAATTACCCCCATGGTTCATGTTTTCCCCCATTAGTGTCGGCTATTTTATTTGTTAAGGAAACAGCTCTGATTGGCAGAGTTTGTCCATCAGTAGCACGTTAAGTCATTTTTTAATATTCTTGAGTGGACTTGACCAGAGCTGGGGTTTTGTTACTCTGACTGACAACAGCCTGGGAGTTCTGTAGAGACCACCCCATACGGCTTCAAACTCGACAGATGTCATTTCACTTTGGCAAATCTCAGTCGTCCAGACTTCCTTTGGAATGAGATTGATCCTCAAAGTTAACGCTCAATATGCCATTCTGAGTACATCAAACATCATTTGATCTTTCTGAATCTGCAACTGCAGGGAGATAAACGTCAAGGACCTTTGCAAAATTGGCAAAAGTCTTATGTCAAATGACACTATACTTACTTGTATTAGGCACTGGATGGTTGCCTTTTACTGTGAATTTACTAACTAATTTCCTTCCTATGAGATGTATTCCCGCCAACCAATTTACTTAAGATCCCGTGTAGCACTGTTTAAATTTAATGTTTCTCACTTAATGTGAAACATCAGGTTTACTCACAGTGACTAGCACTACACACATAACTGATCATCTTCATTCAACATAAGGATATATCATCTGACCTACTAGTGAAGGGCATTTCTGTCGTCTTCATTGTTGCACAACGTGCAGCATTACAGCATTACTACTCACTGGCAGAATAGGTATTATCTCCAGAGAATAACAAAAAATAAAGGAAGGTAGAACAGAGTCAACGGCTTTCTGGACCACGTGTTATGCAAAGACTATACAGATTATGTGGATGTTTAACTGAGTACACAAATTTTGACAATGAAGAAGACTTTTACCAAAATTATGAAGATCAACAAGTTTCTGAGTAAATAGACTGGTGTAGGTGTATAGTGATCTGGTCCTGCATCGTTCCAAACTGTACCTTATGTCCAATGATTGTGGCGATATATTAAACATGCTCTATAATTTAATGGTGTTAATCTACTATCATTTATTTACTTTACTTTAAGACATTTAAATGTACTCTGATTTTAAAGGAAAAAGCTATTATTTTGACGAGTTGCAGCTTTATTTTACCACTATGAATAGAAGTATAAACAACTATTTTGTTTAATTACATAAATAGCATCAGCAGACTTGAAATATTGTAGTAATGATAGAAAATTTGAAATAAGTAATTTTGAAAGATTTTATCTATTTCATTCTTAAGAACGCTATTGTAACATTAAAATCAATCCAAAATATATAAGTTCTCACAAACAAAGTATTTGAAAATATTTCTGCTTCCAAAAAAGAACACCGAGATTTCTTTTCAGTCCCCTTTTCGTCAATTTTTAGCTTGTAAGCACTGGATTTCAAAAATATGGAATACCTAATTAATTATATGAATATTTTTGGGGGTTTCTATCAAAAATGATAAAGGTATGGAATATATTTTGTGAAACCAGTGTCAAACAAAAGTTGCTTAGGCCAGACTATGAACCAGGAAAAATTGTACTTGGCTACTAAACTATTAGATTACTGAACTTGTATTATTGTGAAGCAATCACAGGTTATGATACCAAGCCCTGCTTGAAACAGTTATTATAAACTATAAACTAACTAAACCAACAAAGTATTATTACAATGAACAAAATAACATAATTAAACTGAAGAACCTCCATTACTCTGTATCGAGTAATTATCAAAGGCTGTTCCTAAAAAAAAGAAAACGTTACCGCAAACCATTTAATGGAAATGAATATCCTAAACTAAAGGCTAAGTCAAACATTGGGCTGATATTTGACTTATGTGTAATATATACTGTGTATATTTTGTGAATTTAATTTAACAGATTATCATTCCTTTGATATATTTAATAAAAGCAAAATTTGTGTACTTCAGTCATTTATTTAAAGACAAAATTTATTTTTAAGGCATTTTGAAAACATTTGACAACTTCTCATTCTTAGGAGGCCGTTTTTCACTTTTGTTATTCCAATTTTGTGCATTTAAACCTCATACTTTCTCCAGCTTTTAGGTTGAGGACATTGTGTTTTCTGTACTTCTTATGATACTTTACTTTTAAACACATTGTTGTAATGCTGTTCTTTCATTGGCAAGTTCTTTTTTACATTATCTGATGAATATTTTTCAACTTTCAGTCCACGTTACGAAAACAAATTACTTTATTTCATCCTTTAACGTTTCTTGTTGTAGGCCTACGCTACAAATGACGTTTAAACCCTTATAATAGTACTAGGACTAACTTAAAGTCAACTTGTACAAACTAACTCAATAAGTACGATAGGAAATACAGATCCAAAAACTTCACGACAACACACTGACTGATTCAACTCTATATCTCGAAATAACTCTCTATCTTCAAATAATTTTACATTCTCTTAACTACATAATTTATATATTATCTAACTCAGAAAAACTTGGCGTCAAGTTAGAACTTCCTAGACCTATCTTAATGTCATCATTATGATCCACAGCTTCCTCTAGCAAATAAATTGCAATACTGAACATATAGCTTATAACAATACCTAAACTTTCATTTTTATTGCTTACTTATAGTTTACGTTTTAGACCTTTATGTAGTTGATATTTTAGGTATACCTAAATTCCAACTCTAGACTGTTAGGATTATAGTTTTCGGTTATTTTAAAATATCACAGCCTAGTTTAGTTTCAGCCAATAATTTAAATCATGATCTTTTATGAGAAAATAATTTTCAGTATTTTTAAATGGGCTGACTTATATATGCTGAGTAACGCCCCCACACAAAGGTGATACTGATGATTAGAATGAAAATGTCACCGAAGGTTAGGGTACAAAATGTATGATTTTCAAAATGTTATGGGTTTTATTCGAAGAAATTTACTAAGTCGTAGAATGAAACTAAATTAAATAACTACTCCTTTGAAAGTTTTTCTTTGTCATGAATTGCATTTGTTTTGCCCACAAATTTTTTATAGGTCTTCCCAAACAGCCAGCACCAGAATTCGCCTTTCCCGTGTGGGATTCAGATGGAAACCTTTGTCTCTTGGGCAAATTTTCGGCAACTTTTGCTATCACTTATACAAGTCAAGGAGGAGATCAGGTATGGTTGATTATAAAGAAAAAAAAGTCTCCATAATTAGAGCTCATTTCTTAAAAGCAAAGATGTTAAACTGAATTGTATTTCTTACAAAGTATCATTTGAACACAAAAGAAAAAAAAGGTAATTTATTATTTATGAAATTTCAATTTTGATACTGAATTGTAAAACACTGGGAATTCCTTGTACTGGGATCGTGGAAGTGGATTTGTTTGTAATTTTAGCACAAAGCTATACAATGGGCTGTCTGGGCTCCGCCCAACACGGGTATCGAAACCCGATTTATAGTGTTGTAAGTCCGCAGACATACCCCTGTGCCACTGGAGGGCTTGGAAGCGGAATAGCAACGGAAGTACCAACTAACTTTATTTTACATAGTTGATTTATCAAACGGTACCATAATTTGAATAGTAATAAGTTATTTTAATTCCGTGAGTTCCAGTCTACATTTGTATATTTACAGCTTGTTCCTCTGGTGGCTCAACGGTAAGTCTGAGGGTTTACAATTCTAAAAGTCGTGGTTGCCAGAGCAAAGATAGTCCATTATGTAGCTACATGCTTAACATCAACCAAACAAAAATAATTCTAAGCTACTGCGTGTTTTAAGAGATATCTTTGTGTACAATAAATTATGTTATCTTAAGAAATAATGCTTTGAGTGTATATTCACATACTGAATTCGTGTTTTAGTATTTATACAAATTAATTTATTCCACTACGCAGTTGTTACAAGTCACATGAATTTGTTCTTGAAGTTAATTTATTTCACAGAAAGACCCCCACCCCCACCCCCCAGTGGCACAGCGGTATGTGTAGAAGGTAATTTAATTCCATTATAGAATCCGTATAATTGTGCTGACAGGCTTAAATATTTGGATTTAATACAACGTTATCATTAAAAAAAAAAGAACGATTTTTAAGAAGTCGACAGTAGTTTTTACAGGAAAAGCTGGCATGGTTAATATTGATTAACTGGTGTTATAATAATAATTTGTATCATTCACAACTATACTTCTTTGTATATTAAAAAAGGGTATTCGTCACATTATTCAAACTTGTCCGTTGTTTATTTGCAAAATTTAGACTTATTATGATTTTAATTGCCCACCTTTAACAACATGTAGTAATGAAGTGTGGGATTTCGCATCTGCAGCCTGAAGTCAGTACGATGTCCCCTCTTAGCTTTCAGGGTAACAGGCTTTGTTGCCAGACTAGTTGTGCAGAACACGGTTTCCTGTGCAGCTGTGCCATATATTATTTTTAGCGTGTGTTTGATGTTATGACTTCGCCGAGTTCAGAAGAGCTACTTTTCCTCTATCCATGTTCTGATTTGGAAATTACCGAATCATTCGTTGAATATTCTACAATTTCATCTGACGAAGAAAGTGCATATAAGGACCACGCAATGGTGAACTTAGCAGATACCTTCAAAGATAAAATCCTGTATGGCCGATGATCCTCTTCCAGATGATAATGAAACTGATACAAGTGATCCAAACTATGCTCTTTCTCTATCTTTCACTCCTGGTATATCATCGAGCATCCCTAAGAATTGAAGACTAAACATCAGGTCAAATGGCAACAGTCATGTGAAATGTGTCCAAACTTTACTCCTCTGACAGTTGTAGCATTTGAAGCACGAACACAAGTATTTGTTATATATGGTATTGTCATCCCTATTTGCTTAGTTTTTGTTTTGTGGGCCAATACTATTCCTCACTATTGGTTCTTCTAAATTATCCTGAGGGATCAGTTGGCAAATCTATCTGCGTGAGAAACGGCCTAACTTTTGGCCCCCCAAGTTTAAAGTTTCTATAAAAAACACATATTTATGGTTAAACTTTACATAGTTTGTTGTTTGATATTCTCTTCAGAGTGGAATTGGAAGATAGACTTATACCCTTTAAAACAATCTTAATGTTATCGAGCTCAACGTTAGATAATCTCCACGGAGATAACCTCCAGAGCAATTGATTTCGTTCTAAATTATTACACTTGCCTTGCATGACTCTACTCTTGTTACAATCATCAAGGTAAACTTATGGAGTCGCTTCACCAGCTTTTTAAGATTAGTTAAAACTAACTTTCCCAGATGGATGTTTTCATGATTTCAGTTTCTCGCTCTTATGGGAGGAAAACATCTAACACTGACACAGAGATTGAATAACTGATTATCATTGGTGGGTATACTCACTTCCTTAAGCACAGAACAGAGTTCGTAATCGTACACAACATCAAAATTCACATTTTATCAGGGCTGAAGCTTCTAGATGTAAAGGTTCGGCGTAGTCCTTCCCCTCAGTTTTTCTACTTGGAATACAGGTTTGTTCCCATAGAGACGAGGACTTGTAGCTAGTGAAAACGGTGATATTAAAACTTGAGGTCCAGGGTTTTACCAACGATCTGGAAGATGTGTGATTCTTCAGGAATCAGTCTCCTGAATAAAGCATCTTGTCGTTGTTTGTCAGCTCTTAAACGCATGTGGACGGCTCGGCTTATCTTTTTCAAGATATCGTGTACACCATTGCTCGTGCACTAAAAAACTCCCCAAATCTGGCGGCTCAGGTCTGTGCTTTAAAATTTTCTAATAAATACAAGAGCAGGATAACGGGAAAATCCTGTAGAAAACGTGATATATTTGTAGTTGAAAATCCGCTCGAATTTTCTCCATAGTGCATGGTTTATAGTTTCGATACTGGGTCAGAAGAGTACTATAGTGATTTTAAATTTATTTAGTCGTATTCTTAGAGGGGTGGTTTCGTAGACAATCTTTCAGATGAGACCACGTCTAGATGCTTTAAAACGCCTGAAGTTTACCTTATCCCATAACCTATTCCAGATAACATTGAATTGTTACTATTTTCTGGTGAACATTGTGGTGGCAGTATGCTATAGACATCCTGCGTTTTCATGTTTACTAGTTTTGTACTTTTAATGTCTTTCACTACCGGAATAATATTCTTTAAATGGAATTAAACGTAGCTAGTTGTAATTGTTGCATTGATATTATGTCGCACAGCTTTAAAAGTATTTACTATTGCGACCTAGTAGGTCATGAAATGAGTACTAGGATGATCTGAGTTTAATAAGGAGCACGTGAAGTGCACCCAGATCGCTGTTAGTTAAGCTCCTAAATCTTGTGTGCCTAGTTCACCATTTTCGGGAGGGGAAGGGCTCACTACTTCTCTTTTTAGGAGCTTGTGCTTGTTTTATCATATGAAATTATACACACTTTTTTTACTTATGAATCTTAAAATTTTGGATTTGGAGTGAATATGTTTTTCCATTGTATACTAACTTTGCTAAGACTATTTGTTTTATGTCTTTGAGAGGTCTCTTTCTCTCAATTTATCTGTTGTGTTTTCTAAATTATTTGTTAGTATTTTTCAGTTGTGGACTATTGTATCTTGTGAGCTGTACCGTATACCCCGTATTTTTACAGGACCTAAGGTCCAATTTAAACCATAGGGCTTGTCTTGTTTTATTTTTTGTAGCGAAATAACTTTTATTTTATTCTAATTTAATTTTGTTCATATGGTTTCACTGTATTCATTGACTATGCACAGGCTGTTCTGAATGGCCTAGGATGAACTCAGACTACTCTGTACATAATCATGTACATTGACAGAATGCTCTTCCTTTTAACAGAGGACTTTTGTTATTTCTTTCTTTAATGAGAACGGTAATTATTCCTCATTTAAGCATTGGTTCAATATTTTTATATTTTTTTCCCCCACAGTGCGCCAGTATTTGTCACAGAATTCTATGGGAAGATCATCTGGACCTAGTGATGTATTTGTAGGCCTGCTGTTTAATCCATCCAAGTATTCTTGTGATACGAATGCGCCTACTATACTACTACCATCAAATATGCCTAAATGTTTTGTAATTTGTGTTATTTCTTACATTTGTTTTCGTTAATCTATTTTGGAGATTATAGACTTATGCAGTGTTCTTCTGAGGTATTTAACATATCTTATGCGTCTCTGTGTGTATTTCCGTCAATGTCAATTAAACTGTTCACCTGTGATCTCTACTTGCATTCTGTAGACTGTTGGTAGAAAAAAGCTTGAGACCTTTTCTTCACTTTCTACTTTTCAGGTTATTGTAATGATTCGAATGCACTCAACTTTCAGTTTGGATAATTTATTTAATTTTGCTATAACTATTTAAATTGATTATATAACTCCCGGGTCGTTTTCAGTTGGTCTTACTATTGCAGTTAACGAGAGTTTTTAGAAATCTGTCTGTTTTTATTTCTTGCCTTTAGATCTGAGAACATTCCTTATTTATATTTGTTGATTCTCTCACCACTCCACAGTGGCGTTTTCGGTATTACATATGATATTTCATTTTTGACTGATGTTTTCTGTACATCAACTTTCCAATGGCCCTAATCTTGATCTACTTTATTTGGTAACCTTATTTGTAAAAATAAACAATGATGATCATTAACATAATTAATTGCCTGTGGTGTCAATTGAACTTATTTAGTTTTTGTTTTCGCCGACTGTAGGATATCCCTAGTGGTGTAGAACCTGTCTAGTGTGACCGCTGTCCCACTCTTACTTTAGTAGGTCATTCCAGGGTCGAACGCTTGATTGTGACACCACATACCACTAAATCAAAATTGTCGATTACACGTTCAAGTAAGCTTACAGAACCGTGTCCATTTGTGCTGTCATTAATTTTATCAATTGGGGGAGGGGGGTATAGAACACAGCTAAAATCTTTTCCTATATAAAGAAGTGGTAGTTTACTAGAACCCGATAGAAATATCTTCTTGGGGGGGGGGGGTATCGGATACATATACATCTACTGTTCTAATTATTCTAAGAACGATATTACAGTTAATGGTGATATTTCAAATAAATTATATAATGAATGAGGATGGAATGGGAACAGTTTATAGAGTATATAGTATGTGAAATGCGCCATTTTTGTAGGCGAGTTATGGTCGAGATTAAAAGCGATTTGTTGCATATTTTTTGAGTTTTCAACACTTATGGAATAAGGATATGTAAATAAAGAAATTAAAAGAGTGGACAAAATTTTCTGTCTTTATATACTCATGTTCTGTTCTTTATATTAGGTATTATTTCATTATACTAACTATTCTTAGTTTGAGCTACATTGACTCTTTTTGTTTTAGAAAGACCAGATGCTACAAGATTTACCTAACCATTTAACATTTGTATGTAAATTACTAGTTTAGAACACAATGTAACGTCGTCTTATATAATTAAACAATTAACAATCAAGTGCAAACTAATTACTTGTATTTGAAAATGTGCTGAAAATGTTTGGCTTTATTTCTTCACATTATATTAATGACATACAGACGCATCTAACAGGATTTAAAACTGTAGAAACACGTATGTATTAACTCTTTGTAAAGTCTTAAATTTTTGAGGGATATGTTAATTTATGTCATAATGTTCTTCCACAATTACAGACGATTTCCGTGAAACTACCAGAACAACCCACTACTAAGGGACGATGTGGAACTTCGGATCAGGATCCTGTTTTGGAGCTCTCATGGCCAGGTTTCCGCTTCAGTATGATATTTACTAAGGTAAGCATGCAGGATAACTTGGGGGTGGTGGGTAAATATTATTATTTAAAACATTACTGAGAAAACAACTTCTGATACGCCCCTGTATGTAGTAAAAAAAAACAGTGGCTCAGTCTACGGGCTTACAACTCCAAAAATCAAGTTTCGATACCCGTGATGGGCAAATCACAGATAGCCCATTGTACTGCTTTTTATTTAACAACTATCAACTATCAAACTATAGTTAAAACAGCTTGCATTGGTTTAGTTCTTCATAGCCATCGACGAGATATATAAAACTTTTTATTTCAAATTACTCTACGTGTCAGAGCACAATTCTAAAATAAAAATTAAGATGTGAATATTAATAACTCGTCTAAACAGTGTTCAAATAAACTTTTCAGCGGTAGGACTTGTGGATACGTTATCTTCCACGCTTTCTTGGTTATACGTCATGGATTATGACATTTCTATCGTATAAACACAATAAAATATTCTATTTTGCACATTGCCAGCGACTTCTCAATGAAAAATACGTTGTTCTGATATCAAGATTATGGGGGAACGCATCACTACTTAAATAGCCAGTTGAGGTTTTTCGGGTTTCATTAAACTCGTACCTCAATAACTACGTATGGTAATCTGTTTACCAGTATCTTCATGGATAATTATAATACACATTAACATCCGAATATGATGCTAGTGCATGTTTATGTTAGTATTTTCTTTAATAAGTTTGTTTGGTCAAGCTATCGTGTTCAGTGACGCGCAGGGGGTGGTGGCCGGGTAGGCACAAGCCCCTGCCTTTCTCCCCTTATGCCCTTTTTTTTCTCTGTCATAAAAATTTTCAACAATTACGAAAAGACACACCTGATTCCACACCTCGCTTGCTGCGAGTTATTAGGAAAGAAAACAAAAGGATTTTAGCTTTAAAAAAAAATGGAACACAGGGTCGTGTTGGTCTTTACAGTAAAAAAGTAATTGTTAAAACGCAAAAAATCACTGTTTTGTTTCATATTACATAAGTGTTTAAAAGACCAGTTGCATAAGAGTAAAAGAGGATCTGTTTGCTTCTTATGGATTTTTACCCTATGTGTACCCCTCAAAAAAAAGAAAAAAACTTACGATACTTGAAAAATGCACCTTTTAATGTCCTCTGCACGTTGCTGATCATGTTTCTGTAACGATTTTAATACAATGATGCTTTTAAACTTGCTGGAAAAGTCGAGAGTAAATATTATTTTTTAATATAACATTATAACTAATATTATAAAACTGTGTGAATTTCAAGTACTTTACTAATTTTCATGTCACCCAAGTCATGAGTTAAACTTCACGAAATAAACACAATAAACATGGTCATAGTACTGAAAGAGTTGGACCATCTTTGTAGCGTTGAATAAACGTCATCTTTCTGTAGACTCTACCCACGGAGAAAGACGGTATACCATCATGGTCGGTAATATCCTTGGAGCTTTTATACAACACAGCAGGACCACTGTTTCCTGGAGCCACTAATGGTAAGGTAGATAAATAGTTTAAACATTGTGGAATGTGTTTTAATTTTGGGTTCTGTGTATTATTAAAAACTTGGATTGTAATAAATTATTTTCATAAAATGATTTGGGATTGTAATAACATATTTTGATATCATGAGTTGGATGGTAATAAGTTATTTTCATTCCGTGATTTTCACATTGTATTTGTCTACTTCCAAAGGTTGCACCACAGGTGGCTGAGCGGTAAGGTTGAGGGATTATAACACTAAAAAGAAGGGTTCGATACCCACAGTAGATACAGCGTAGCCAGCCTTTTGTGTACCTTTGTTTTTAAGCACACCAATCCAAAGCTTGTAATTAATTTACGTTTTTGTGAAATATATTAGAAATGGGTTACATTACCTTGAAGTAACTGTTCAACTGAAGAACCAAAAAAAATAATTCTATGGTTTATTTAGACTGTTGCCTGGAAATAAGAGCATTCTACTATAGAATTTTTGTGTATTAACAACATAGATAGAGTTGTTACCTGTACGTTACAATGTGTAATAGAGGATATCGGAAATTGATTCATTGGCTCAGCGGTAAGTCTATGGACTTATAACGCTAAAATTCGGGTTTCGATACCCGTAGTGTGCACAGCACAGATAGCCCATTGTGTAACTTTGTGCTCTACAAACAAACAAACAAACAAAATTTAAGACCATGAATGTGTTGGATTTTAATGTTATAATAAGAGTATTTCAAAATAATAATATCTCACGATCCGATCCTTTTAACAGGTGGCAAGAAGACAGCACGAAGTGCAGACAACACAACACTTTTTGAAACACCCTTTGGGAAGTCCTACTTCTGCCCATCTCCAGAGGTCATTCCATTGTATGACTCCAAAAGAAACAAAGTAACCATCGTTAGGCTTCACGATGTACAACTGCAACCGTATGACGTGAAAAATGGAGTATTTTCTGCCGGTAGGTGTCGTTTCTCTATAAACTTTGTAAGCGCTTGTCTTGAATAGTGCCAGGTATTAAAAAGCAGGACTAGAGAGCCCAAAAATCGGGTTGCCATATACACCTGAACTCCGTACTTTCGGCCGTGTAGGCGTAATACGTGTAACAGCCAGTCCCTAGGTGATGGATGCTGCTTTCTGTTTGCTCTCAGTCTGGTCTGCAGTTGTGAATGAAGGATGGCTATGCCTGAATCTTAGAGCTCTCTAACCTGGCTGTTAACTCATGTGTTTAAGATTATGAATTACAAGTGAAGATTTTCATTATTACTCTCTTTTTTTTTTGTAAACAGTCTCTGCTCCGTATTTTGTTTTTTTGAAATACAAATATTTTTTTCTACAGTAATCTTTTATAATTCTCCGCGAGAGAAGATAACACATAAAAAAATTTCTGTACTACCGATTCTCCAAATTCATATTCGATTATGCTGTTTCTATAGAGACTCGTTCTCTATAGTATCTATGCTGCTTACTCGATATCTTCCTAAAATATCACTCGGAAGCAGAGTATATTTCCTTACTGGCAAGATTAGCTTCCCCTTGGAACAAAAACGCGCTCCGCACTTTGGGGCCGAGGGTTCACTATGGTATGAGACTGACGGTCAAATCTCATTATTAATTCAGACAAGAGAAGTCCAGGAGTTGAACATTGGGTCCTACTGAATTTATTGTGCGAGATAAAAATTACAAATGGGTATGTGTAACTATGCGCGGAATTCTGAAACAATCAAATTCCTATAATGGTTTCAGATAGTGAGACTCTATGAGACAGAAGGCAACATTTCTTAAAAGTAATGAGTGGGTGCCTTTTGCTCAGAATATTCAATACGTCGTTGAAAAATACAATTAGGGAAGTAAGTTAACTCATAAGCTAGTCGTTATTTCGAAACAGGTAGTCATTGAAAGTGAGAGTTATCCAGACATAATAAAAGGAGAGCGTTGTATACTACTTCATGTTATGTATGTGTAAGAAGTGAGCTTCATGTTAAGTATGTGTAAGAAGTGAGTGTTCCATCTTTACAGAAGAGTTCGATTAAGACCTCGATGGTTTCATTTTCGGAAATAAGTGTAGACGACGAGCGAAGTCACAGGAGCAACTTTGTAACTGCAAGTCTCAGAATCAGTCGCGAGACCATGTTTGAACCTGGTATGAGGATTATTGAAAACAAACAAACAGAAGAAAGAGGGGCGTTAATTAATAAACAATTTATTCCATAGTCCACACATTTTAATACTCATCAAGAAACCTTACAGGTCTCCAAGTATCCTCGACGGCGTACCTTGCTGTAGTAGACTTATTAATTCTAAGAAGTTATGAGTGAAATTAAAGAATATGTTATACTATTTCAATAACACAACACCTGCCATATCTAGTGTCGACAAGGTCATTCGCCAAATACCAGGGCTCATCAGGCCGGCTGTGATACGATATACTCGTAGTAGTAAATTGATTGATCTAGTCATAAGAGCTGCAGAAGGGTGTGATTTTACTATGAATAAATTAAAGAATTATTGTTATTGAACAAGAAAGAACGGAAAGCCTTGGAATATTATATTTGGAAACTGAACAGTGTGTTATGAAATATTATCGTTAGAAACTGAACAATATGTTATTAGTTTAAATGATCGAGATTCATCCTTAACTGAAGCAAAGGCTATACCACTTTAAGCATTCAATTAATCAAAAGCATTATCTTTTTCGGATATTACTTCAGCAACTTAGGGAATAAGCGATATGATTCAGGAGATTTCTAAAGCCGACACATGGGCGTTTGGAACAAGAGTAAAATAACAAAACGAAGAAACTACACTCTGAAAATAAATAAAAAAATCATCTTACAACAAACTCAACTTAATTCACTCTCGAAACAACTGGAAAATAGTATAATAGGTGTATTCGACATTTTATCATGGTTGAGCGTGGCCTAGAAAAACGTGCCAGGCTATGAATCAACAGTTCGACATATTAGTTCTGTCCTCAATATATAATGAAGTGAAAGCTGAGATTACGGTATTCAAACCACGGGATCGTATTTGCTTTAAGCATCTGTCCCCAAGTAGGTCGTGGGTTTGTCTCACGTGGTCTTAGTTTTCACTCCTCTAAACAAATTTCTAATTTCATAGGAGAAAATGCTTCTCCTTAAAACTTCGATATCCAGGATCACTGTATTGAAGACACAAAGATGATATCTTACAGGATCACTGTCTTGAAGACACAGCGATGATATCTGACAGGATGACTGTCTTGAGGACACAGCAATGATATCTGACAGGATCACTGTCTTGAAAACACAGCGATGATATCTGACAGGATCACTGTCTTGAAGACACAGCAATGATATCTGACAGGATCACTGTCTTGAAAACACAGCGATGATATCTGACAGGATCACTGTCTTGAAGACAATAAGATGAAATATGACAGGATCACTGTCTTGAAGACACAAAGATGATATCTTACAGGATCACTGTCTTGAAGACATAGAGATGAGATCCGATAGGATCAATGTCTTGAAGACAATAAGATGAGATCTGACAGGATCACTGTCTTGAAGACACAGAGATAATATCTGACAGGATCACTGTCTTGAAGATACAAAGATGATATCTGACAGGATCACTGTCTTGAAGATACAAAGATGATCTCTGACAAAGTATTCTAAAAACAACAACAAACGTTTAAAAACAAAGTGACAGGTAATTTTCTTTTACTACTCATATACAAAATTAGTACAACAAGGTTTTTATCTTTCAGTTCAACGATGCAGCCAGGTTAAGATTGGTGGAATGGTGGAGCCATTTTCCCAAGATGAGACTGTACCCATTGCCGTAGGAAGCACCTTAGCAGTTATGGCTATTCTGGTGGTACTTGGTTACGCCATCTACAGGTCGGTGATGGTGAGAAGAGTAGATTATACCACAATGGAATAAATGAATTATCCCGTAACGTAATAGGTGTCTATTTATATTGCAGAATAGTTAACAATCTAAGTGTTTTATCTATTACATAGAGGCTACTAATATTGTAATACTCTACAGATGTAAAACTGTCTGACCTCTTTAACCTAATACTGTAATGATCTAATAAGACAAAGTTCATTGTTCAAATATCACTGTAAACTGTTTGATTTCGTCGTTATGATACCACTTGAGTAAGGAAGCACATCTGGTAATTTGATAATAGGAAGTCAATCAACGAGTTATACGTATAAGGAAAAGTTTTACTGGTCGTGAAACATACTACATGTTTCGACAGAACATTGATCTGTCTTCTTCAGGTATGATCAGTAAGTAATACAAGGTTTAGATATTTTTAGTCTTTGTAACAATATCTAAACCTTGTATTGCTTAGTACTGATAATACCTGAACATGTAGTATGTTCCACCATCAACAAAACATTTCCTTAAGTTTATAAATCGTTGTTTGCCTACCTATTGTTACAATACCAGTGTAAGGCTGTATCAAGACAACCAGTTTGATTTCATTGTTAAAATAATTGTAATGTTTTAGACAGAATGCTTTTTGGATCTTATTATTCAAGAAACACTGAATGTTAATTCGTGATAAAACTAATGGATTTCTTGTGCACAAGAACACTATTTTAATCTGTATGAATAACAAGGTTAGTTATCCAGCATAACTTTTAAAATAACAGTGTAATGTTTTACCGAGATAAAGTTTTCTCATTTCGTTTTCAAATAATGTTACATCAACACAAGGTTGATGTTGTTGTAAAGACTTCATTAAACCTGTTATTCCCTAAGCGTTTCAAAACTATAAATACATCTTTGTACACTTGTAAATTGATAATCCTTGATCACCTTTAACTACACTGACATTTTACAATATGGTTAGTTGTCAGTTTCCAAATTACAATGACAATGCTGTACCTGCCATCTTTTTATCTTCTGCCTGATCAACAGATGCTAACACTAGATGTTAAAGCTCAGTCTGTACCTTCTTAATAGCACAGTTTAAAGGGTTTTAAGGCCTTGTGCACAATAAATTTTCCCTTTCCTTAAACTTGACAGAATATGCGATATACTTTCTGTAATTATCATAACATCTCCTTATGTCAATAACAAGAGTTAAAACTTTCCCAGCAGAAAACACACAAGCACCACCTACAGTGCAAATATTTTGTTCTTGCCCTGATAATTTAACATTAATTTCACAAAATACTTCTACTAATCCATTTCAGTAAAAATACAAGCTGAGGAAGCATATTGGGCTGGTTCTGATTGTCACATATACCTACACTCGAACCTCGCTGAGGTTTCTTTTGTTCCTAAAGATCCTGTGCAAATGCACCGAGTACACAACGGTTAATCCGGACCTATTCGCACAGCTAAGTTATCTGTGGTGACGCATTTAACATACTTAAAAACGAAACCAGTATCTAATGGGGTGTATTCTTGATGAATTAGTGCCATATTACCATATTTATGAATGAAATATTGGACTTATTATTTGCATTTATTAAATGGAGGGAGAAAACAAGCATTTGACTGAAGAAAATAATTTGATTTTACACGTGAAAAAACAAACGGTATAAAATGCCACAACAGTGAGAAAAAGAAACGTATGTTTCTGTTGTAAAATTTGTATCCGGTGAATAAGTTATTTTTAAGTTAATGTTTATATTTCTCACTTATAAATTTTTAGACTATCTACTGAGAAGTTTCACTGTCTGTGACCAGTATTATCTATACGTGTATTGCCGTCGTCTCAATATGATGCCTAGTTACCGAGAAACGACCTTCTATTATTGTATATTAATTTTTACCTGTTCAAAATTAAACGACTCATTCCGACAGTATTAATCAGTTCTTATAGCACACTGACATGACTTCAGACGCTGGCCGTTCTGGTGGAAAAACTAAATTAACTAATTTCTTTTAAAAAACGCTTTTCACAAATGGAATAAAAACACATCCGACAGACGGCGTGTTTGGTTGGGATTACAGTGCTAGTAGCTTATGGCAATCTTTATTATTATCGCTAAAAATTATAACAAAATTATTCAGTTTAAAAGCTAATTTTAATGCAGTATGGAACTTTGTCGATATCCGGGTTATACAGGTCATCTTATCAATATTGTTATGGTTCCATAATTTAGCATTACTTAATTATCGCGTTTAACAAAGAATGTATTGTGTATTGAGGATTCTAAGTAGGTTCTGGCTGAAATGGAAGTGTATTTAACAATGCCATGGTAGTTTATATTAAATATATATTTTAATGATACCATGATAGTTTAAATTAGGTAATATTTTGACTGGTTGTTTTAAGAGATTTTTACTATGATGACACTTAGCTTTACGTCAGGGAAACCTTTATCTGTTGGCTAACCCTTAACCTACCCAACTTCAATATCACATAATCATAACGACAGAAACTACGGTACGAATCTCTCTTAACTTAGCAGTATACCATATTTTAACTAACCTTGACAAAAACAGGGACTTTTAAATTGATCCGTGAAAATAGTGTAGCCACCCTTATGTTTAAGGGACTTTAAATAGATAGTTTGAAACGTAGTCTCCCTGCAAAATGAATCTTTCAATTACATATCAGGGGGTTTATAAAGTGATATCCCAGAGGAAAAGAATTGAAGTGGAAGTTAAGTACCTATTTTTTCATTCCACTCTTTATGGCATTAATAAGAGAAGTTAGAACTCTTGTTTTTTTTTACTGATTATCCAAAATGCTGAACATTTTGTAAAACTTACTGTGGCACTTAGGTCAATAGTGTGTACAATCTTGGTCATCGATTAGTCCTGGACAATTACACTAAACTGTCAACATCATTCTATGTCAGTAGCATTGTCACCAAGTACATTCTTTAGGTTGATAGTAAAATCCTCACGATATTCACAAGTTCAAGGGATTTATGAATACATTAAGTAAAAACAACAACAAAGAAACATTTCCAACAACCACTCTCCTTCATGCTTTATTTGACATTGTTTTGTTAACCCTTTGTACTCATGTTATAATAGTAAAACTGTAAACCATAATAAAAAGCTTTGAAAATGAAGCTCCTGAAAGAACAAGTTAACAGTTTTGTAACATGAATTGTTACAGAGTCTGTAAATGCACAAACTACTTCAAACACTTTTTTCAAATAAATCTCAAATGCACTAACTACTCCACTATAGAACTCTTTTTTATTTATACAATTATTTCCACTAAAGTTAAAATAATGTGATTATTGAACACAAGAGTTTCTCTATTACTGAGTTGGTAAATTCAATCAATTGAAAGTGGTATTTTATATGGTGCCATTTTTTGATTATAGATATAACTATATATTTAAATCTTAAATGTATGTTAGATATTTCTATCTCCTCATAACCATGTTCTTCAGGCTTACGAGCCTACTCTGCTGTCATGTCTTCCATCTACTCAAGTGTGATAATAAAGTTGTGAACTGTACTTGGTTCTGTCCTCTGGTGGAAAAACTGCAGTTATTTGTAGCTTCATTACCTTACAAATATTGACTCTCATAAAATAGTCACTATAAGAATGGTGAATATTAAGTGTCTATACAAAATTATTTACTAGGTACATTAATTTCCAGAAAGTAGCTCCAAAACAAGCAGAAATTTATTAATTGAAATACAAGAAAGAGTGCAGACAATTATAGTGACATACATGAGTATAAAACTGAATTTAATGTAATGTCATTTGTTGATGATATCTGTCCTTACACTACCACATAAAGGTGCAAATGATACTAAGAAACACCCAATAAAACCCTAGCTCTTTCTGTCCCCCTGTTAAAAAAGTTACTTTTATCAGATTTTGGTATGAGGTATGATGTAAGGTGCCCAAAATCAGAAGAAACAATATTTTCATTTTTTAAAAGACAAATTTGGAAAAAGTTATAATTTAAATGTAAAATCAAATGCATTTTATCACTGAAAACTCTACTTTGTGAAATTTTAATTAGTGTCAATGCCATTTTTTTTTTCAATCCACAGAATGTTGATTGTTTATACAGGGTTATTAGCAAAAAAAAATATATGACAAATAAATATGTAAGACTGTGTGTAGTTTAGTGGCAAGCAATTCAGATTATGAACCCAAGAGTTTTTAGTTTACATACCTGTTGCTTCAAAATCTTGCTATGCACATTTGGGTCATTAGTGAGTTATAAGAGTAACAATCAAATCTGAATGTATGATTAGGTGGAGTCCAAGAGTTGATGTTGAGTGCTGTTGCCTTGCTGCTTCCCCTCTAGCCTATCAGTAAGAAATTAGTGGCAGCTAACCCTTGTGTAGCTTTGTGTAAATATCCAAAACAAACATTGTAAAATAATTTACTTGAAACTAAAATCTCTACCTACATTCACACCTTAAAGTGCAAGATTAATGATGATATCATATGTGGTTATTAGTTTAGTAAAAATACAAGTGTGAGTAACTATCATTGAGAATTAAAGTTATTTTTGCTCATGGCAAGCAAAACAAACCTCACAAATACTTTTAAAATGTGGATATTCAAATATGTACACACAGGAGGAAATCTACATGTGTGTTTTAATGTTACAAGATTTTTATAGTTCTCAGGATGGACTAATGTTAATCAACATTACATGAGCACCTTGTAACCAATAGGAGAGTTCAAGATATAGTACTTCACATAAGTGTTTAAGCTCAGTTTGAGAAATATTACTCGTTCATTTAAGACCCTTAACTTTACATTGGTTGCTGTCACTGATAAAAATGTTTCCATTATATGTTATATCAACTATTCTAAATACTCCTACATTTAGTGAGTTGGGTAAATAAATACTGACAAATATATTTTGTTATGAACACCATGTATTGGTTAATTCATTATTGATAATTTCTACAGGTAGTGTCTCATGTGAAACAGTATCCTTCTAAATCACAATGTTGCTTCATTATATTACTCTATACACATGTACAATATAAAAGTACATGAGCATGTCCATCTAAATAATTTAGACTGTTTATATATCATAAAGCATATAAAAACCTGTACTACCTAAACTGATGTAGTGACACTGTGGTTCATTAAATCCAATCACAATTTACAGAATAAAACTGTTCAGTATTCAAATGGTTGAAGAGAATCTTGGGATAAAAGAATTCAAACATTAAGGTAATATGATTCATAGAACTGAATCACTGAAGTTTGAATTTCTAAAACTATAGTAAAAAAGGTAGTACTGATAACTATTAAAATACAAAGAACTTGAGTATAACTTTAGGATTTGTAGAGGGCTATTCAACAAACATAACTAAGAATCTGGATGTATATACATTGGTAAATTCAGCTTTATTGCAAAAAATAAAAATAATAACAGTATTTAAAAAGTAATATTATAAGTTACAGTGTTCTCCCCATAATCTTATTTTACCTCATTACAGAGTTGCATATTTTCACTTTTAACTACTGAAACACAAGTTGTGTACTTTGAGGGAGAGCTTCGAAAATGAAGTTCCTGAAAGAACAAGTTAACAGTTTTATAACCTGAACCATTACAGAGTCTGTAAATGCACAAACAAATCCAAACACTTTTTCAAAGAAATTTAAAAATCACTAAATCCTTCACTGAAAAGCTTCTTGATTGCTATTGTTTAAGATTAAAGAGATGATTAGTAGACAAGAAAGAAGCTGATAAATTATGTTTTTTTTTACAGACTCGGTGCTAAGTCAACCAATATGTGTATATAACAGTGCTCAAGGAAAGAAATAAACATTTAAACATTTTACATGCAGTAATTACTTTGATATCAACAAACCAGTGTATTTATATAAACAATATAAACTTAAATATTAAGAGCTGGGTACCTAGTTTCCTAGTGATATTTATTATACACATAACAACTGTTTTGTTTCATGTCATGGTGATCATCAAATATGGTATTAATGTTATAAAGAACCTGCTCTTGTAGTTTTTATTTATTTATACATGTTTAATCATTACTTTCCTTCAAAGTAACAGACACATTTTCATTCTATTTCTCAATACCAGAACTTCATTTTTAAGAACAGCTTGAATCTCATCATACTGAAATACATTAAATGAATGCGTTCTAATTTCTATTAAATGTCAGAGCTCTGGCAATGACCTATATAAATTTCTGTGGTATGTTTAACACCAAAACTTATTTTTCTCATGTTATTCACTTTTTTTGAAAATGCAATGTATCTGTTATCAATTCTAAATATCTATTCTCAGAAGAAAACAATAAAAAATCTGTATCATTCCTCACAAAATAGGCACTTTAGGAAAACAAATAATTATATTACAATATTAACAAAAACAAAACTACTGTTTCCATCAATGAGCAAAATGGACAGAAGAAAATCAACTATTATGTTTAACAAATATACTTATAGGCAACATCCTTCGAACACAAAGTATTTCAGTGTTTTTATACTTACCAGTATTCAGCAATGATTATCATTGTTTTAATCAGTAGGGTTAAATATCTTAATATATAAAATAAAGGTAAAAAATATGGACCATTTTTTTTACCAGATTCTGATTAAAGTACTTTTTTTTTTTTTGAAAATAGGCAACATTACTTGATAATAGTGTCCTCATAATAAAAACATTATTAGAATCAGAACACCAAGGGCTGGATTAAGTATTCTTGATGCATTAGGTACAGAAGGTCTTGTCTCCTATAATAGTTTCATTATATATATATATATATATATATATCCATACCTACAAGTTATTTTAATATTTTTGGACATTACAGTGCCACCTTTTACCTGCAATTATTAATCCTTTGAGTGCATAATTAAATTTTGGGTGGTTCTCGAAAAGTGTCAATTATCCACTAAAGGATGAAATGTAGAATTTGACCTTTTTTAGTACTTTTTAATATCAAAATCCACTAGTTGTGCTTTTGATATATGCATGCATGGAAGTAAGGTGGGAAATTCAAGAAGTATCTCAATTGTCGCAATATGACGAAAAGTTTTTGTGACAGCATGGGGTAAACCTGCTTGTCGCACCAATCGGTTATAAATGTCAAGTCAGATAAATCCGATTATAGCATCCAAAGGGTTAAAGAAGAGAGTGTCTATAATAGCTGTAATAAGACTGTTACAGAACAACACTGTAAGAAAATATGCCTTTATTCAATTTTTAATTATATTTTTGGGAGCATCTGGGCCAGGCCCTATAGGTTCGTATGTCAATCTGATTCAGAAAATACCATGTTTGATAATATGGATATCTTACTTAAAAAGAGCATGGTATTATGATAACTTCAATGACAGAATTAAGCCTGGTGCCATATTAGTTTTTATTTTATTAAAAATGGTTAAAAGTGTCAGTAAATCAAATTTAGTTCAGTATAAAAACAACAATAATATATCTGGCCTATAATCAGCAAGATCTAGTGATTACACTTACTGCATATAATCGATGGGTTGATGTTAGGCTAGTCTCATATAAGCATTTTTCTTTTGTAATTGAAGTCAATGTTACAACTTGATATGTTACAAATTAAGAAAGTTGAAACATCTCTGTTACCCTTTTCATTACAGATTGTCTCATGATTCCTGTAACTTGAATGCTTAGCAGGATAAATTAACAATAAAGAGACTACCAAATTACTTTTATCACTATTACTCTGATGCTCAAGATGCTGTTGACTCTAATAAAAAGAAATATTCTAATAAATGTATGGCTCTCACAAAAAAGTGTTCTCTCTGCCACTTAACACACTGTAGCCATATAATACCAAACCTATCACGACTTTCAGATCACAAGTCACCCATCTTCTCCCTACGTTGCAACAGAATAATATAAAGCTTTTCTAGTATTTTTACCCATTATTGAAACTACTTGTTACACCACTCACTCTTGTCTACATATTGTAATTATATATATCATAAAATAGTTTATCCCACTCATTCTTCTCCATACATTGTAACCATGTACATCATAAAGCAGCTTGTTATCCCACCTACTCTTCTCTACATATGTATCACAAAACAGCTTACTAACTACCCACTCTTCTCTACATATTGTAACCATACATATCATAAAGCAGCTTGTTATCCCACCTACTCTTGTCTACATATTGTTACTATGTGTATCATGAAACAGCTTGTTATTCCCTCCACTCTTCTCTACATATTGTAACCATACATATCATAAAGCAGCTTGTTATCCCACCTACTCTTCTCTACATATGTATCACAAAACAGCTTACTAACTACCCACTCTTGTCTACATATTGTTACTGTGTATCATGAAACAGCTTGTTATTCCCTCCACTCTTCTCTACATATTGTAACCATACATATCATAAAGCAGCTTGTTATAACATAATTTATTATCCTAACACATTTTCTTTTTCACAACAGTTTAAGACGTAATAAAACATTTACAGAAGTAACTCTCTAAATGAGCTTCTGTAGTAAAATGACTTTATACAATATATTTCGATACATGAATTTTTACACAAAAGAAAAGTTTTCTAAAAATAGTTCACCCATTCAGTTATTGTTTACAGACATACAATTTACTCAGAGTACAATATACTTAAAATGTCATTTTAGTTTTACAAGTACTATCCATTGATTTCAGGTTCTTGACTTTGTGTACATGTTCAGAGCTTTGATAAATTATACATCTGCACATGCTGTCAAACAGCAAAAATATAGGCTTGATGAAACTTGAAAAAAAAACAGGATAGATACACGTTACAAAACATGGATAGAAAAGATTAAATGAAACTTATTTCCTGATGATACTGTAATGTCAAAATAAAATCAACATGATCATCAGTATTAGCATAAAAATAATAAAAAAGTACAAGATTATACGTTTTTGATGAACTACACCTAAGGCACTAGGCAAAGATATGTAATAAAGTGAAATTCTATTCTGATATGTAATAACCGAAAGTGAACTTCTATTCCGATATGTAATAACCGAAAGTGAAATTCTACTAGCCCAACATTTTTTTCCCACTATAATGATTAAATTCTTACACTTTGCAAATATATACATACATATTCTTTGCAATGATTTTTTTCCACAGTGTAATAAAACTAAAATTAATATAATTTATTACAGCATGTGTTGCACAGTTGTAAAATTTATGAACTGGTTAAACAGAGTATACATGTGATAGACTGGTAATTCCTAACCTATCGAAAATAAAACAACTTAATTCAAAATATATAAAAACATAAAATCCCTGTGTATGTTATCCAGTCTACATATATGATGAAATCAAAACAACCACATGGTGATTTGACATTTGAAACACCTTACTTTTTCCATTGTACCTAGGAAAAAGGATGTGGATTCAAAGTCATTTCTCCTAAACACACGTTTCATCTTTTATCAATAAAACGTTACAAGTTAATTATTAAAATCCCTGCAAAAAATTAATCATATAAATTAAAAAGTGTTATAAATGCAAAACTAAATAATTTGATATTTGAACTTATAAGTTGGTATAATCGAGTCATGCATGTATTTGATACCACGCTTACGATGAATTAGCCTGTCATTGGTAAAAAAGGCTACCAATCTTACATATCTTTCACTGACAATAGATATTTAATGAGTTTAAAGAAGAAATAACAACAGATAACATTTTTTTTTAATTTTAATAATTAAACATAGAGTTGGATGTTACTCATATTTCATGGAAGTAGAACTGACTTAGCTTTGGGCTAGCATGTGTGGAATTCACAGTAGCCCAAACATAAAGTTTGGTAGTCCTGTGCATACACCTGACAATACACATTACATAAAACCAATAATGCATATATTAATTACAATTTTAGACAGGATTAATGCTGTGGTGTATGCTCTAACACACTTTTTTTGTTGTTAGAGCTTTTCAATAAATATAACAGTAACAATAACAAGTATTTTAGTCAATAAGCATAGTACATTAAAGGAATGTTTTATTGGTAAACCTTTATTAACTCCATATGGCTTATTCTCACATTATCTACATGTTTTATTGTTTTACTCCTGATTAGGTACTTGGAGTATTTAGCTTCTTAACTGCCAAGTAGTTTTTGTTTATCCAAATGTAACCACTAACAAAGAAAGAATAAACTATGTCCTTTTCACTATCTGTCCGGCTTTCAGATCATTTATCTTGAAAATCATCAAATGTTTTCTTAAAATCTTGATAATAAACAAGTTAAATGAGAACAGTCAACAAACAGTAGAGTCTAATCCAGCATCCAAATATCTATCTACTAATACCCGAGAACTACAGTTTTAGGTGTGAATATTTTACACGTGAATCCCTTGCAAGTTTTGTTTTCCAAACCTGGTGGTAGGTTTTCAGGTTTATAGTTGCGACAAAAAAATACAGGCCCAAAAAGAAAAAGATGTACAATTTACGAAATTACTCATATTTTCAAGTTCGTAATTAAGTTTAAAAAAACTTGAATTTAATAATTTTATACAAAATTCATGATTTGGCCATGAATATATTAAAAATGAAAAAAAAAAGGTACTTAAAGACAGTTGGTAACAACACAACCTTGAGCACCATTTGTAAGACATTTACATATTTTACCTAGCTGTAATATATCATGATTTATTAAACATGTTTTAATGTCCTTTCCTCACTGCTATATATACCTGTACATGTTAATAAAACATATATATGTTTCTTTCCAGTCTTATAGGTGAGGTTGGTTTCAAGTAACAACTTTAACACTTGCTTAGGCAAAAGCAAAAAAATATCAATCAACTTTTATCTGAATTAATAGATTTAATTAACCTTAAGTGTTTTATAAGAAATTGAGAAGAAATACAATTAAAACCTCATGCTTTGTTATCTACCTTAAGTTTGAGTTGTGTACGATTTCTATACTTGCATGACATCAGTGAATGAGATCCACCTGATGTCTTTTGTAGTTTACATATGCAGCTTATAATGCATGCTGTACTAAGTCTCAGCTACATGTAACTACAATACCAGAAAAAAAATATGTCAATATAAACAATTCTCTCATACATGAACTAAATTACTTTATAAATTGAACACTACTTACAGAAAATCAAGTCTTAGTGAAAAAACAAATGACATGATAAATGATGCTTTGCAGAAAATAAAATAACAAATCAAGTAGATGCATCTCATCTCACTAGTGGACATATCCAATATTGTATATTTTGATTTTTTGTGATACAACATTCAAATTCACTTAGCATATTAAAAACATGCACACAATGCTTTGTGTTTCTCAACTGTTGTAACATAATAAAGCTTTATACTACAGATTAAAGTTATTTACATTTAGTTAGGCTGACAAGTTAGAAAAATAACAAGGGTGTAATAGCTCAAATACAGCAGAAACTTAACATTTGGGAGTACCTTTTACAGAATTTCGATAACAACTCAAGAATACAATTACATTGACAAACAGATTAAAATTATCACACATATATATACCACTTTTTGAATAAAAACTTACGTGATTGTCAGTTTTCTCTTAAACCCTCTTGTGATAAAGTTACTGGTAAATGAATGGTATAACCTGTTTTGATCACATCATTAACCACTACATTGAGTCCGTCTTAGCACTTAACCTCTCATCTCCCCCTATAAAAACCCAACAAATTTTCCACAAATAACAGACATGCATAAAAATCAGTAACAACTGTTTACCCCACAACGATCTAAAGTGTTTAAAATATAACCAAAATATGCAATTCAGATCAGACATTTGCTGGTTTAAGAAAACAATGGTACCTACAAATTCTTTCAGTGTCAAGATTACAAACTCAAATAAACAGAATGTTTCTTCTTTGTAAACAAATAAAGTTAATTCCTTTTCTATTTAAAACTAATTTACAACAGAAATGAATAACTTTTACCAGTTAGTGATAAATATCAATTGAATATATTTTCATAATAAAAGAAAGTACGTATTTCACCAATACTAGAAGTTAATACTTTTTAATGATAATTTTACTTGTTCACAGTAAAAAGGATATTCTTACTGGCATAAAAAATTCCCTCAAAAGGTGTCTTCTGACCAACTACTACACTTATATTTACAAACCAATAAACATAGAATCAAATCTCCAGCTAAGGAACACTTATTTTCTTAGCTTTAAAGTTTCACTCATCTCTCAGGTTAAAAAGATGTACAGACAGACACACACACACACACACATGCATAAGTAAGAGTATTAAATTTTTAAAGATTAAAGGTACTGCTATTACATTTGAATTAGAACTTACAGTCAACTCTACTTTAGACTCACTACCAGTATCTATTAACAGAACACTAACTAATAAATTAACCATTTATTTTTAACAACTAGGATTCGATCAAAGATTATATAAAGTAGTTTATTGGCTAAAAGCCTATGTTCATCCTTTGTAATTCCTTTTGGTCTGAATTGGAATTTGAGGTTTAAAAGCATCTTGTATTAAAAATTCAAAACAATTTAAAAAGATCTTAAAATCAATGGAAGGTGCATACACACATAACTTTTGTATCAGCTGTCAATATTCATAAATCCAGCCAATAAGAACTTGCAACCTAGACCCAACCATGAAAACATAAATAATTATTTTCTACAGATGGCTGACAAACAAATGTGAAATTTCATAAATTTTTAACTGTTGCAACTTCTAGTTTTATAGACTGTTTTAAAGTTTCCCAGTGAGGTCTTATAAAAACACTCTTTTGAAATTACCTCTGGATTTAGTTAATATATTCATAAATTATGTGTTTATATTGTATTTCTTCAAGCAGGCTATGTGGTAAAAGATAAATTAACAAAAATATTACACAAATATTTCTATCAAGTACACTGAAACCTTATTATACTGCAAAAAATATAATAACAAACATGATGCTTTTAAAGTCAGATGTATTCATACTGTACATATACTAAATTGTAAACAGCACAATCACAAAAATACGATTAAAAAAAAAAACTTTGCTGAAGAACACACTTCTTAAAACGCAATACTGAACACCCACATAATCACAAGTTACTTGCATTAGCTGGAATTGGAGTTTTAGTCTTTTACGAAAACAATTCAGTAGCAGTTCAGACACTACCTACAGATGCAGTCACATGGGTTCATTCTAAAGGATTTCAAGTGGGACATTGTGAAAAAATGATCCACAGAAGCACACAAAACTCGATTTTTAGTTCTGAAGAACAATGTAGATAATATATATATCTTATAAAACACTTTTTGGTCAGAAACTTGGCACATGACGCCTTGTAGACCACACCAGAAAATAACAGAGCATAAAAAAGTATTTAAACTTTAATAATCTACTAAAGTAAGCAGCCAATCCCTACCTTCCTTCCTTCTGACTACACATGTTAGGTGAATAGATTCTTGTATTCAGTAAATCCTACAAGATTTGCACAACCTTAGCAAGGACTGTGGCGAAAGCTTCTCATCAAGGGAACAAGCAAACTAGGAGGTCCAGCCTGCCTCAGAAATGGATGCTGAAGTAATTCATAAGCTGTGGCTCTCTGAGAAGGGTCTCTGATGAGCATTTTTTCCAGGAACCCCTGCAACCTTGGAGACACCTAAAAGAATATGATTTGCCTTTTTAGACAACACAGTTTTTCAAAAGTCATTTCATAATAAATTAACTACTTATATCATTTCTCAAAAACCTTGATATCTAGGAATCTACAACTCTTTCGAATTGTTTTATGCACACACTGACACTTCAAGCAAAAGGATGTTCCACAGTATCATCAGCTTGAAAAAACATTCAACTGAACTTCAGAGATATGTTAATATTACTCAATAATTTATAAATGCAAAGTTTTATAGACTCACACATATATAAAAACAAAATCTTTATATTTCATGCTTGAGAAAAATTAAAAATTCAAATCAGGTAGCCTTAACTCTGAAATACTGAAAGCCAGATACCCACACTGTGAAGGAGGTGGGAACCAGTGAACATCAAAAGAAACTTGAAAAAAGAACAACAAGCTACAGGTCATGAAGATAATAACCTAGAATGAGAGAAGTATGTAATCAAGTGAGCCTGAGTAAAATCCAAAGCCAGAAAATAATTTGCAAAATTGGAATCAAGGGAGAATAAGTAGAAAAGACCAGTTTCATAAGAATATTAGACCTAAAGGACACTCAGAAAGAAGACATTTTTCTTAGTGGGGTAACTCTTCACCCAATGACACCCTTTAATTCAGGCAAAGGGATCAGTTTTGTGAGCAGTAATGTTGTATTGAACCTGTAGAGCCAACAATGTGACACAGATGTTGGCATAAACAGGTAGGAGGAATACTATATGTCCCACTCTTGCAGTAGAAGGTTCTCATGGGAGCAGCCCAGATATGTATTATAAAAACATTTACTCCAGGAGCATTAACTCTTTTACATCCATAACTAAAATAGCCAATGAATCAAACAACTGGTCAATTTAGTGGTGCTCAAGTAGAACAGAAGAAACACAGAAGTACTTCCTAGGGATGGACTCGGTGTCAGGACAGTCCAATTGGACACATAAAAACATAAATAAATAAGAATCAAAAACAGATGACCACCATCCTGGTTGGAGCTTAGACATCTAGCAATAACAGTGGTCCTGTTTCTGACATCTCTAATACCATGCAAGGATGTGCATCCATCCACAAGTGGGAAAGGTACCCATTGTGGCATCATAAGGTACCAGATGGCACCCTCTGTTCACTTCCAAAGGGGAATACCCACTCATGGAGCTTCAGCGTATAGGTTGGAATTTGTCTATGATAAACACATAGGGATATGTGACATGAGAGAGCCTTGATTGGATGAATCAATATAAATACAGATTCTAAATGCATAAGAAGAGACTGTATTCAATTATTGTATCATTAGTTTCTTTTGTACTGATCACAATCTTAGACACCCTGGAAATAATTAATAATGGGTGTTGGGCAAACTATACAAAAAATTCACAAGAGACAGATTCTATCAAACCTGAAGAATAGCCACGGGGGCAAATGGAATCCTAAAACTGAAAATACAGTGATGTGAGTAAAGTACGATAGCATAACAAATAGAAGGAGAATCAAGGTTAGCCTGAGTAGGCAACACAACAGAAGAAAAAACAGTGATAATCATCTCTTACAGCCCAAATCTCTAACAGAAAATAAGCACAAAGCTTTACTGGAAAGGACAAACATTAGTGGCAAAAAAACCTGAATATCTCTTTCCTGAAGCAAGTAACAAAACAAACTTCTGGGAAAGATGGTAGACAGACTTAAATCCCACTGAGGACAATGTCTAGACACTTATGGGAGGCACAATATAAAAAAAAGGGATTCTGACAAGAACTGAAAAAAATATATAGGGCTACAAGAGGCACATGACTTCTGTGACACCTGAAAGTGGCTGAGAGTGTAGCTCTGTAGCCTGTACGAGAAACAGACAAGCCTTGACATTAAAGAGATGCATCTAAAAAATGAGGCAAGCCATTAATGAGTTGGAGAAAGACAGGAAACTGAATTCCACAGGAACCAACACTGAAAGATAGACCAACAAGACTGGTATACTACCAGGAAGGAACATCTGCAAGAATGTGACAAAATTTGAGCAACCTAAGAAGAAAAGTCAGTTGCATTTACAAAAGACCACACAACAAACAGCTATGAAGTTGTAGATGAAAAATGTTATTGTGGAAGATGTAACAAAAAAGTAATAGAATATGATCTCTCTGAGATGTTGGCCTGCTCCATCATGGGGCAATAATAAGAGCTGGACAATGGGACCATTTGATCTTGGACAATACCTAAGAAAGATGATAAAGAGGGTAGTCATAGAGAATAAAATTTTTCCAAGATGAATTCAAAGAATCCAAAGCTAGAGAAGCTGGACCCAGAACTGGAAACCAGCAAAACATCAAAAGATGATGCACTGCCACCGAGAATGTATCAAATATATGACAACTGAACCACAATCAACGAAATATCAGAAGAAGAACAAGAGAAAGAAAGAAAGAAAATGGTAGTTGTTACAAATTAAAGCATCCATATTACTGTGGTACCCACTATAAATATTAGTATACAATGGCATGAATGCATTGAAGTATCCGAGCCGACGGTGCAACTACAATCAGCACTGCATCCTATAGGCAAAAAATGCATAAGTAAGGCTACCAACCAATTAATTCTAATAGTGACAGAAATAGTTACATCAGAAAGAATGCTTCAACAAAGTGAATAGCCCAACTGCCAAAAATAAAATTTTAATTTTATCAGGAAAGTAGAGCTTACATAAGATCCCCTGGTGCTTTTATAATAAGTGATGTGGAAGGTGGTAGAGTGGAAGATCTTATGCAAGTTTCAGGGGATTGGTTTGAGTTATGAATGAGTTCCATTAGGCTGTAATAGTTTTAATTTTATTATTCAGATCAAAACAGATATAAAGTGTGTCTTCGGGACCTAATGTGATATATTCAAAATGTATGCTCATTTTCAGTTCAAACAAGGTAGTCATTTCTACCTCGAACATTTATTAGTAAACAATGTTAAGTTACTTTGCACTGACTTTTACTCACTCAATCCCTTCCTTCCTGAGAATCCTTTTTGAGATATATTCCCGTTATTAATTGCTTGTTTTGAATTTCGTTCAAAGCCACACGAGCCTATCTGCACTACCCATCACTAATTTAGCAGTGAAAGACTAGAGGTAAAGCAGCTAGTCATCACCACCCACCGCCAACTCTTGGGCTACTCTTTAACCAACGAATAGTGGGATTGACTGTCACATTATAATGCCCCACAGCTGAAAGGGCGAATATGTTTGGTGGGACAGGGATTCAAATTCACGACCCTCAGATTGTGAGTCAAACACCCTAACCACCTGGCCATGCCAGGCCCTCCTGTTATTGAAGTTTTAGCATCCTACCTTACAATAAATCAAATATATCCTGAGTTCCTGAAAAGTTGGATACCAAAATTTTAAATTATTCTTCCATTACCAGTCTTCATTGTCATCATTAAGTAATAATGGATAATGTCAGTGGCCATAACACCCAAATGTGTTAGTGACATTCCCAACACAAAATGCTGATGACAATGTAAAACTCACCAACAATGTTTCAACCAACTCCTACTGCCTTTAGCTGTCTGTAACCATGAGTGGGAAGGAAGTTACCCTTAATGTTTAGATATAACCTTAAAGTAGAATTAAACTGCCCTATAATTCTACAATGCAAAACTCCCAACTCCATAATTTTATATAAAAAACAAAAGATATTCTTATGACAGAAATAAACTGCCCTATATTTCCACAAAACTTCCAATCTCCACCTTTTTATTTAATAATTAGTGGTATTAAACAGAACTAAAAACCCTTACCTTAACAGTTCTTAAACCCCATCCTCCTCCCTTTATCTTGAAAAATTTGTTCAAGTATATAGACTAAAACAACTGGCATATATGTTGATATATATATATATAAAACTCTAGAGTAAATGCTTTACCTTGTGAGTGTTTTTCAGTTTTGGAGGTGGCATATCACGTATCCTTCTCATAGCTTGTAAAGGAGGTTCATTAAAAAAAGGCGGCTCTCCATCAACCATCTCAATCACCATGATGCCCAAAGACCATATGTCTACCTAATAAGGCATTAAAATTAAGAGACATACAAAACAATGCCTTCCATCACTTTTGAGCATATTCCATAAATGTCATTGTTTTCATTACCTGATAAAAAAAGAACCTAAAGGCAGTTTACATTTCATAAAATGCTATTTATTGTAGACACATATATGTTATCACTTTTGTTAGTGTTAGCACAAATGATCACATATAAAGTGTAACAGACTTAAAATAAGATCCAAAACTTGAGCGCTTTTGAATTGAAAAATAGTCAACTATTCGAAAGCACTCGAGTTTTGGGTCTTATTTTAAGTCTATGTTATCACTTTTATGTTCAACAACTTGGAATTGAAATTCTACACTTGATTTATGCCTACACTTTATACCAAGGGGCATATTCGAGGAATGTTTGGAGTGTGTGAAAATGAACACTCTTTTGAACAACAAATAAATATTAATTCCACAAGATTCCATATCTATTTGTAGGTTACAGAAAAACCAATACATCATTAGTACAGTCGTAATAATGGCCTGAATTGCCAAATACCATACCATTATACACAATGCTAATTAGTTAAAAGATACTTGGATATAAATATATCTAAGAAAGATGCATCATAAACAAATTCCCCATCCCCTAACAGAGGAAAATCATTCCCAAGACAATCCTCGTGATGCCCAAGATACCATCAATTTTTTTGACTGCAGTTTGACTTGATACCTTTTCACAGGTATAAAAGATAATCCAGGTATCACTTTTGGAGCTATATAACAGAAAAACAGTGTGGCAATTAACAGTTTTGGATTTTGATGTATTACCTCAACTAGATCACAATTGTGATAATACAAATTGTAATACTAAATGAGGATATCACTTGTATATTCAACATCTTACCTAAGCTTCGTATGAAAACCTAGAGTTTTCAATATGGCCATACAGTCTTAAATATTAAGTGAGAACATCAGATGTACATTTTCACATCTTCCCTCAACCTTACACGTATATAAGCAAAATGTAGGTTTATCAGTTTTGTTTGAAGTTAAGCACAAAGCCACACAATGGACTATCTGTGCTCTTCTGACCATGGGTATCGAAACCCAGTTTCTTGCACTGTAAGTCCGCAGACATACCACTGCACCACTGGGGAGCATGTTTATCATCTAAAGTTATATGTATTGACTGGCAAAATCAGTTCTACACAATTCAACATCTTCCCTAAAGCTTACATGTATACAAGGAAAAATGTAGGTTTATTAGTTAGTCATACATTATGTAAAACTGATTAGGAATATCAGTTCTATATTTTGACATGACATCTTATATAGCAACACAGAAGCCATTTAATATAAACTACCACCAATGGATAACACTTCAATATTTTGACATCATACCTCAGGCCCATATGGCAACCTAGATATAACCTCTGGAGCCATCCAGTATGGAGTACCAACTAAAGACTTCCTCTTGAGAAGATCAGAGGAAACTTGAGCACAAAAACCAAAATCTGATAGCTTTACCTGAAACAAAAGAAAATATGAAAGTCACAATAATAGTTGAAGAGTTTATAATTACTTAAAGACTCATGTATACTGAAAGTATTAGAACTATCAATGAATAAAAAAGTGTTAACCAAATTTCTTGCAAAAACACTTTGTAACACTTCAACAAAAATGTTTTTAAGATGATTTAATAATCATTATACGATACTTGAAATAATTATGGAAACATTGAGTAAAATGGGTATAAAGTGTACATACTATGGTATTGACCCCTCCTATTGTAGAAAATTTAACTGTATCAAAGTACAGTCACATGTTGATAGTTTAAAACAGTGCTATACCAGAATAATGTCTATAAAACTAAAGGCAATCATACTATTCCCAGCAAGTGTGGCGAATGCACCATGGCTCTCAGGACAAAAATTCCATATTCCAAACTTATAGAAATAAAATTTTTCCTGTTGATGGTTACTTCAGGAGACAGATTGAGTAAAAAATTTTATGTTTCAGTAGGAGCTTTATAGAAACTCTGAAAAGGGGTACATGAAACTGTTACTGTTGATAAAATAAGTGGCTGAAGTAGATGTTAATATTAAGTGATGTTAAGTAACTCGGGGTATGCTCTTTACCTGATAAATGGCAATCCATTAAAGGTCTTGCTAATGACTTAGTTGTAAATACAGGTTTTAACGTAACCTCCAGCAGAACAGCACAAAGAAGCTTCAATGGATTTGAAGTAGCTCAAAACCACTGTTTAGGAGACAAAAAAATGAAGCCAAAATGCTCAAATTTCAGAAAATGGAGTGACCACAGCTGGAAGACAGTGATCTTTACAGGTGAATTTATACTGAAATTGTTTAATAATAAACAATGATAAGACACAGAGGAATACTGTACCGTGCATGTACAATGTCTTCAATGAAATATGGTGAGGGAGCCAATAGAACATCTCAACCAGTGGTGTTGGAAATCTACACAGAATTGACTGCTGATAGTACAAGTAAGTTTTTATAGATTATATCATCCCCTCAGGGACATGACCTGTTGGGTAGGGATTTATCTTCAATAAAACAGTGATTCCAAGTATGCATAAAATGTGGTGAGACAATTCCTGGTGGGGGGAAAAATGATGCCGATGGAACATTTTAACTATGGTTTCGTCTGAGGTGCATCCTGTGTGGGCTTGTATGGAAACCTCAAAGATCAAAAATGAACCAAAAAATTTAGCTGAAATGTGGAAAGTAATGTAGGACATTTGAAATAACATCTTACAATCACATCTTGATAAGCTTAGAAAAGCATAAATACTAGGTGTAATGCTCTGTTGAAAGCAAATACAAAATACTAATGTATTGTACAACTTACTCATTTATGGGTGTTTTCTCTAATGCTGTACCAATGATAAATTAACCGTTGAGTAGCTATTAGAATAGCATAAATACTAGGTGTAATGCTCTGTTTAAAGCAAATACAAAATACTAATGTATTGTACAACTTACTCATCTATGGGTGTTTTCTCTAATGCTGTACCAATGATAAATTAACCATTGAGTTGCTATTACTCATTTTTTGTGATTCCCATATGTGTCACTTGTGCAGTTACATAATTATTTCAAATGCTGTAGTGAAAGAAAGAACAACAAAATGTAAGTGATAATACAAAAAGTTTTCCATTAATTCCTTTCTTAATTTTCTCTTTAATAAAATCTCAGAAATTAAGGATATTGCCCTTGTAAACCCACTAGCAACTGTGAGTAAAAGTATCTTATTTTTGCTTAAGTATTATAGTATAAATTGTATCAATCTGTATAAAAGTAAAAATTTTTTTTACCATCATGTTCAGATTTCGATTATATCTATTAGCAGTAAATTTGCAATTTAATTGTTACAAGCTCTGCTAAGTCAATAAATAGTCACAGCAATAGTCATTATGAATTTTTTTTGTAATATGAACTTACTCTTCCATCACTAGCAAGTAAAATAGAATCACTCTTGATGTCTCGATGGATAACACCTTGAGAGTGAAGAAAGGTTAGTGCTTTCAAGCATTGCTTACAAACTGTTGCAATCTGTTCTTCATCCATTCTGAAAGATAAAAAATATAAAGCTCAATATTTATCCCTTCAAATCTCTCAAAATAATCTTAGAATATAAAATTAAGACAAGAGTAAATTGGTTCCACAAATGTTATTCAGGTATAACTTTCAACAATTTCTTCCCAATACGAACTAGGCAAATAACGGTTAAGATTTCATCAGAAATGTTACAAATAGAGCCTATCAGTCATTTTTATAAATATTCTATTTTAAGTATGTACATATTATCCTTATTCAGTAGCATTTTCAAGCTTTGTTAAGACAGAGTATGTGCAAAAATGAAACAAGCATGTACTATAAACTCTTCAAAAATCAAGTAGTAAGTCTGATAAATTAGATACAAAAAAAATTATTTTACATTATAAATAAACCCTTTGAATCTCATACACATTGCAGTTAAGAATCTAATTTCTTACCTTGCATGGGTTACAATATCTGTCAGAGCTCCCCCTTCTAAAAACTCCATAACAACCCAGAGCTCATCACCCACCAAGAAACTATCATGCATCTCTACTATGTTGGGATGATGGTAGTCCCTCATTATCACCACCTGTGTTTTAACACATTAGAATTTAAACAGCTGATACATAGTCACTGAATTTCATCCTTGAAACAAGGATAGAGACAAAAGTAAGGCATATAAAATAGAATCATATCACAATGAACCATTTTAATTGCAAGATCTTGGTTCTATTCTAACTGAAGACAATCATAAGAATAGGACCAAAAGATTGCTGACAAAATAGTTTTAATGGGTATAAACCCATTTTGTGTGTCTTACTATAGACACACCTAAGACTAGAATGTGTTATAAAATTATTTCAACAATAGTTTTGTTTTTCACATGGACTCATGCAAGCATGTGAAGAATATTATGCATGAGTTATTCTAAACTTCTGAAAATTCTCACTTTGTCTTGTTTAAAAGTGAAAAATACATAGTAAAAACATTATTGTTAATTATTGTGTACATAACACAAAGCTGAGACGACAGTCTTTAAGGGCAAGAACTAACACAGGATTTATCTCTCATACAGTGACTTCCTATTTCACATCCAAATTTAAATAATTTCTTTAAAACCTTCATATATTTTTTTCTCTTTATATACAATTAAACAATAAGCCTGCTTTACTGAAAGTCTTTTACTGTGAAACCTGAACTTTAGTGAACTATACCTTCCTTCAACAGAAATAATCAGAATTTTCCCATTTTAATTGTTTTATATATCAGTTTTCTGTTCCATTTTAATTTCATACAAAAACTTTTCAGTGCTTTAAAATTAAACCTACAATTAGACTTAACTAGTAACACATATCCTGCCTAAAATCTTGAGAACACTCAATTGTTGATACTTTATTAAATTCCAAGAACAACTGAATATTCTACCTCATTGAACAAGAGTTCTCTTCTTTGCTGTTTGCGGAGGTCCATCTTCTTTACCGCCACCTGTCTGTTACTAGATTTCTCTGTAGCAATACAAACAATTCCAGTTGAGCCTTCTCCTATCTTGATAAACTTCTCCAAGTTTTCTCTTGGATCTCCTGGACTTACAACCATCTGTAAAGCAGCTCGAAACTGTCCAGAAATATTAATAATAAATAAAAATGACAATTGAATAATTTGTTTTTTTCCAATTTCATATTTTCCAATTTAGCATGTAATATGATTGAAATTGGTTATCAAGCAACTTCTTTACATGATTTGCAGAAATAGATGTTTAGTATGAAAGAGTAAGTAAGCTACGAATAGAAAACTTCAAGATTTGTGTATTTTTAAAAGTCTTTAAATAAAACAACAGCAAATATTACTAAATTACCAAAAGTTTTACTTTGCTCAGAAAAGGATTTGTTTTAGGTATAGAAACATTTGTGGCAAAATTAAAATGCCAAGATAAATGTACATGTGAGTGAAAGAAATGACATTGATCATTTAACCCTTTCGCAATAGGCTCAGTATAAAATACACAAGATCATATACACAATTGTTAAGTATTCATATTATAACCTTTAATGCAGTATGCGTATCTTCACAAAAAATCTGATTTTTTAATGAAGTATATTTACTAAAGATTTATTTGTCAATATATCAAGTCTGTTTTGTTACTAGTCTGAGAGCATAGTGATTTTCATGTTATGATAAAAAAACTATTCTTCTTCCCAAAAATCTCAAATATCATTTGTGTAATCTTTACAACTTCCTAAATACATTTCAATAGTTTATTTTCATTAAAACTTTATATTTTATCTATTATTATTTTTTCTACCCTAACTCTATACGTGGTTGGTTAATTTGACAGACCTTGTGACCACCATAAAAAATTTGAAAATAAATATAAGTTATGCTTTTTTTGTTCTAGAATTACTACAAATTATGATAAAAACACAAATGTTTAGTCTAAATAGTTTAAATCTCATAACATTATACATTTATATATATTTTGAAATAACCAAAAATCACGAATTACTATATCAGTACGATTGAATTTCACTATAATTTATCAATATTTTGGTGTTTTTTAAAACAATTTACTTTTAAATTAAGTATGTATAATACTAAAATTTGAATTATAATCTTCAGGTTGATACCAAACTTACTGACATATGTTCATAAAATAGTAGCTGAATAAAGTTTTGAATGTGAGTCAACAAACACGATGACATGGCCTTTGACTTGTGTCCTTAGGGTTAAAGATCTACAAGATCTTATTGCCTATTTGGAAATAGAATTTACTTTTTTGTTACAGCACTGTTAAATTTAATTGAGTAGTTTTCAAACTAAAGAATACCATTATTAACACTGTTTATAAAGAATACTCAGGTACCTTTATTAACAATTTACAACTTGTGGTAACTTTGTGAAAATTCAATTGAAGGCATGAAACCTCGCAGAGATTTAAAATTATTTCTTCAATTCTAAGAATATTTGTATCTAAAAGAAACATTTTTTTTTTTACTATAGACCAGTATTTAGATAAAATAAGATTTACCTGTTCATGGGATAATCTCTGTTGTTCTGGATGATGTCCATGGCTAGGAACAGGTGACTTGGGTCCCAACAGTTTGTTTTCTGATAATGAGGCAACTGGTTTTGGAGGAAGATCCTGCAAACAAGTGGCATCTTAGATAATTATTTCAATTTAAGCAAACAACATATTAAAACCATAATTACTACCAAAATGTCTGTTTATTTTCCTGCCCTATAACATATAATACTACATAATATTGAAAGTATGAACATTAAACCATATTTAAGAGCCTAGATGTACACCATCAGATAACTTTAGGTTCAAGTCATCTAAATAGCATATGGATATAATTTTCAGAAGCTAAGATTCGTTCATACTTTCTGATTACATAAAATTAGTACAAGTGCTATGTGATAATGAAACTTTCTTTAAATTAATAAATCAATAAATAATAATATTGCACAGTTTCTGGGGTTAATAATGTGTTTGATGTTTAGTATGCAGTTTCACAGACACATTTACTCTGCGATGTCTCAATTCTCCAGATGTATAAAGAAGAGAAACTCACTTTTGCCTCATCCTTCTGTCCATTCTGAGGAAGTATGTCTTTTGGCTGTTGTTGGGGTGGTTGTAAATTGTTCTGTGACTTGCTGTTCTTTACATGAAAAGGGTAAGAACCACTATGGCTTCCAGAATGTTGTGTTGAACCAGATGAAGAGTGAGAATTTCTGTACTGTCGGTCTATGACAGGAGGCTCAAGTTGACTTGGCATAGGTGCACCATTGGAGATATGTGATGGAAAAGTGGATCCATGATGACCACCTGCTTGATAATTAGGGTTCATTGATAGTTGATGTTGCTGATGTGGTTGTGGATGACTTTGGTTACCTATCCTGGGTCCTGCTTTAGGTGTATACCCTGGTAGACTTGTTGCAGAGCTTTCTTGTTCCCAGGATGGATCTCTTGCTACCTGACCGCTAGGAGGAATGTAACCCACACCATCTGTTCTTTCCAAGAAGGGCACACTACCTTGAGAAGTAGCATTATCTTGTGAGTTTTGTGGGTAAGAGTGGCCTCCATCTGTGTGATCTTGCTGGTTATCTGGATAAAAATGAGCAGAATGGCCATGTCCCCATTGAAGTTGGCTAGGGTGATGTTGAGGATGCCAGTGTGGGTGGATATGATCATGATGTGCCTGATGGCCATGAGGAAGGACTCCATAGGGTTGCATAGGTGGTTGGATTTCATCCTCTGGAACTGGAGGAGGGAGACGACTCAAGTAGTCTCGTCGAGGTTGAGGTGGACTTTCTTTTCTTAATGAGTTTGATCGTGTAATGGAAACTGGTACATTTCTAACCTGAGAAGAGCTTACTCCTCGAACAATGGTCTAAAAAGAGAAGAATGTTACTGAATAATGGAAAATTCTTTAAAACCTATTATACTTTTAAAAAATGTACAAAACCAGTATTTACACATTTTTTTTTCTTTAGGTTTCCCAAACATATCAGAAATGATACACAGAGAGCATTACTACAAAAAATGCACTTCATTTTAACAGAACTGTTAAAAATCATAATGTGACTTTCAATAATATGCACAAAAATCACCCTTTGTCATTAAAAATTTTAAAGCCATAAAATTTATTTCATAGTTCAATAACACTAAGTTCACTAAAATAAAAACTTTCATCATTATACATTTTTCACAATGATGCTAACCTATAACAAATACACAGCAAATGGTAGCAGTTTTTAGGTAACCTTAAAAACAGGAATCATGGACACCAAATATCTCAACAATAAAGAAAAACATCTTGGAATATTGGAAAGGCATTGATGTTTGCAATTATAATATACAAAGAGAACCAAACACTTGTACATAAAATAATATTAAGTAAACCTTGTCTTATTCTATTTGAAAATGAAGTATTTTGTTAATATCTCCACTATAGCACTCTTCAGGATGATTTTAATCAGCTAAACAATATCATATACCAAGACGCAAAGCCAAATTTTCTGATATTTACTGACTGGATACCTTTAATGACTAAAAATAGTCCTGAATACTGAATATTGATATTTTTTGTTGAAAGTGTTAACTTTAACTGGTTTTAAGTATAACCATTTTAAGTGAAAGTTTCCTATGAAGTGAACAGCTTTAAAAACTGAAAATTTCTAGTACATTAATAAATAGTAAAGGACTGATATAAAGCTTGAATAATGTAAAAACAGACACAATAGATTACAAATTTTCAAATGACACAACATTGACAAATAGCACTACACTATTTTACAAAATAAATAATTTAAAAGTAAAGGTACTGAATACTATAAATATTATACACTGTGAATACTTCAAAGCCACAACTAAAACACATGATACTAATCTACATTTAAAACTATGCTTCTATAAAACTAAACTTGCATGAGATTTCATGCTGATCATTTCAGTTGGTGTTATAGTTGACGGGTCCACGATGGGCTTGGGCCTATCTTGCTGAGCCTGGATTAAACTGGTCCATTGTGGTGGAAGGCCTACATATTTTCCTTCATGTCTATCAAAGCCTGTGTGAAACCTATGCTCAAAGTTCGTAGGGGCAGAGATGATGGGCTTTTTCTTCTTCTTTCTAAACATCTTCTACCTCCTAATATATACAGGTATACCTAAACATTTAATTATTGCATAACTAAAGATTTCATGCAAACAGATAAGCATCTAAAATCATGCAATGTATATTTACACATCAAGAGTACAAATGTGTTTTATTTCAACAGAAAAGTACAATTATGTTAAAATAAAACAATAACTTCAATAGAGTGACAGTGCTACAACAGTAAGCTAAACCATTCTCATACATGTTGATTTTTAGGAGACTGAAATCTTCTTGGCACATTCATAATAGTCTTATTTCAACCAACATGTCATATATATGATACCCAATATACACGTATATGCCAAAACAATGTCTCACATTATACACCAATTTTCTTTGTTTTCAATATGTTGATGACACTTTTCCAACCTTCGATAATATTAATGTTATTCATGAGTTTTTCTCTCATCTAAACTAGATACACTCAAACATAAAATTCATAGTGGAGAAAGAAGTTGATGACAAATTAACATTTCTAAATGTTCTTGTTTAAAAAACAAACAAAGGCTTCCAAACCTCTGTATTTTGTAAGAACACTCACATTGGACTTTTTGTTTCTTGGAATTCTCTTTAGGAGCTAGGTATATTAAAAGGTGCTATTTGTACACACAAAATCATAAGTCCCAACATCGCATGTTTCAAAAAAGAAATTAAAACCTTAAATTTTGGGTTTGTGTACAAAACAATTTCCCTCCCACTGTTGTTAATAAAGTAATTACTTCATCTGAAAATAAACCACAAATTGACACAGAAAATGATTCTTCTGAAGATGTCCCTGTCACTTGTTATTTTTACTGTTCACCCCAAAGTTCTCTCATGCTATCAAAATAATCTGGTTAAAAATGGACAGAGAGTATAAAATTGACATTAAAGTACAATTTACGTTTTTATCTGGAAATAAGCTAGGACAACTGCTATCCAAAAAGTATACTTCAGGAAATGTGTACACAACTGAAGGTACAGATTGCAAAAACTGTTATATTGGTGAAACAAACAGACAACTTTCTATTAGTTTACATGAACATTTAGAATCTTCATTTCATGTTTTTGAACACATGTCTAGGAATAATCATTCTTCTGATTCTTCTCAGGTAAACATCCTCAGCAGACAAGTCAACATTAATAGATGAAAAATTAAATAAGCTCTATTAATAAAAAAAACATAATCCTATTCTTAACAAATACAAAGGTGTTCATTTATATCTATTTTAATCATTCCCGTCTCTTTTGTATATAAAACAAATTTCAATACTTAAACTCAGACATACAAGTTTTATTTATTATATCTAAGTTTAACAGTTCGTTGGTAAATTACTTTACTGTTTACAGTTGGTTAGTCACATGCTTGTTCATTACTAGTGTTAGAGATTCTCACACGATTTATTTTTAAATTAACTCCTGTTAGTCTCAGTTCTTGTATCCAACCTAATGATGCCAGGTAAACTTGGTGAAACGTAATATAAACAAAAGTTTTACTATGTACAATGAATAAAAACTTGTGTGAATTTTAAAAACATAGTTATTTCTAATATTTAATTAATGTCTCTCTTAGATTTATAAAGTAAAAAAATTAATATAAAAAAGTGCAAGAGCAAAGTAAAAAGCTAGATATAGATGATTTTTCATTACTGAACTGTGAAAAAAGTAAAGAAACTTAGTTAATTGTTATGTTAACTGTATAAACATAATTATTTAGTTCTTGCAGGCATAGAGAACAGGAAGCCATCTTGTGTCCAGATCATATCTTAATGCTATAGCTTCAAGTTTATCTAACATGGAAAGTGTTGAATAAAAATAAATATTATGCTTGTAAATAGTGGTATTGTACACAAAGAAGTAATAGAAAAAAACCTTTATAACTCTGCTATTTTTCAATTGTAATTTATATAAGGCTAATATCTGAATTGAAAATTTTTCTGTGAAGTAGAAACTGATAAGTAAGTTTTAACTATGTGGCTTCGCTTACCACGTAGATGCTTTAACTACCTAGGCAACCACATTTTAAATACTGCAAGTTCCAGTTTTTTCTTTATTCGTTGTTGTTAAGACTACAATTTGGCAGGATTTCTGAGTTATGCCACTCGACTCGTAAAAATCAAAATCTGTTTATTATCGATGTTTTTGTTGAAAGTGTTCAGTAGTTTTTGATTATATAAATTTGAGTAAAAAATTTCTTTGAAGTAAAACCTCAGGTTTGTAGCATTCCAGACTTGGTAATTTAGCTGGTTAAAAAAAACCTGTTGAGTAATCAAAAACATGGGCTTACACAAGTGTCACTAGGTATTTAGAAAATTTGCGACTCAGGCCTGTAAGCATGGGAATTTTTGGTGTTTCAGTATGATATTGATCACAATTTTCTATTCTGAGGATACAGAGCACTGTCAAATACAGTTGGGACATGGGGTCCGTGCACCAGCACCTAACGATGCCTCTGTGGATTTTCATCTTGTTTGATTTCTGTTTTACCTCTTCTCAGAGACATAACTTTATAAGACAGAATGCTGTTCTGGATCTTCTATGATATCTGCTCTAAACGAAGAGTGCTTTAAAAAATTACATGGCATGTCTATAAATATAAAATAATTATATGAATTCTTTTAACTCTTTTTCACTATCAGTATCATAGGCACATATATGTCCCCCTCCAGAGCATTGCCACAGGCACATATATGAGACATATTAGATAATAACCCGTTTTACCTTGAAAAGCAAGATATTAACCAAATGGGAATTTTATACCACCATGAAGAATGGGTACAACATACAGATAACAAGGGACCACATGGTCCTTCAAAGGTTTTCGTATAGTTCAAAGTTTAATCATTTATTTTTGAGGAAATTATAGATTCCCATCTTAAACTCTTGTAAAGTGCTGACCTCCACTATTGCCAATGGTAACTCATTCCATAAGTAAATCACCCTGTTAGAAATGAAAACTGTCTTAACAGGAG